TTTTTTTTTTTTTTGCCATCGTTAATGAAAATGCAAAGTCAAATAAAAGGTGTCTTGGTTTGAAGTCATAGAATGAATGATCAAAGGGGGGGGAAATGTAGGTACTGTTTTCACCTGAAGAAATAATGAAGGAATAGCAGAAAGCACAGTTTGTGAGGAAAGCTGTCTGGAATTGTTACCAAAAGTACAAAGCAAAAGGCCTCTTATTTGGGGGATGAAGCTCCAAACTTGGCAGCATCTGATGAGATCTTTTGGTTTAGTTCACTTTCTTTAAATGAACACGATCAGAGGAGGACCCTCTTGTCCAAGCTCTATAGAATCCTTAGAGGAAAATTATCTGCTGTCCATCCTGACACTATGCTAGCCATTCTAGAGAGTGATTGCTAAACCTCACTTAACCAGAGTCTGCCAAGGCCCATGTTCAGTACTTGATCACCGTTATTACCTGAAATAATCAGCATTTTAAATAGTTTACAGATATTTCTGACCAGTTCCTTTTAGAGCTTCTTTCAGAGTATAAACCAGACCTGACCTGTTGGTGCTTGTTGAAAACAAGCTTTCTTTCCAATGATAAAGCTTCATTTTTGAAGTGTTGAAGCTGTCGCTCCCATTAAATTGTGGCAGGAGAGGAGATTAAGGTAATTACAAACCTAGTTCTACGTCCCGCAAGCACTTTGTTTTGTCTCTGCAAGGAAATACCATTCCAGTCATTTCCCACGAAATACAGACGTGTTACCAACATAATATGCTTTGACTGAGGCAGCATTATGCTTTGGGCAGTATTACAAAATAGCTGGCAAGTGCTTTCTGTATTTAAATATTGTAAAAAGAAAATAAGTTATAACTGTTAAAAAGCAGAACTTTCGTTGCAGTTTTTACAATGTTGAAGTCAATTTGTATGTTTGTTTGGTCAATGTTTCTGCAGTATTTATTAAAACATACTTTCTTTTTTTCCGTTCAAATAAAAAAGTAACCATGTCTTTGTCTAACTGTGACCTGCCTTTTATTATCTACTTGCTGATTTAGCTGTTTAGTTTTGTTCTTTGACAGATGATTACAGAATTGGGCCTCATGTTTCCAAACCTAGTAGGCTTTGGAAAATTTTGATTCTGGGGAGTAGTAACAGTTTCTTGGGGAAAGATAAATCTGCATCTATAAAGGGTTTTCATGATGATGTCAAATCACAAGAAGAAAATGGAGCATAATTAGACTAAGTGATTTGATCGTAAACATAAAGAACCATGATACCGCTTGGAATTAACTTGTAGAAAGCGTGGGATTGCTTTGGACACCAGTAATGACAGTACGGTGCAGTCTCAGGTTATAGATTTAATTCTGACTTGAGGGCAGTTTGCATCCCTGCCCTCTAGGACTCCAAGCCTCAGCCTCTAACCCAGCCACCCACCTCGCAATTTTTGTTCGTGTTCACAGAGGCCAATTATATGGATGACCCAGGACCCAACTATTGCAGCAATGAAGGGAAGGGGAAAAACAAGCAACAAAAATGGCCTTGTTTATAGTAGCAGCGTCTCAATAATCGAGCAACATAATATAGGCTCCCTCAGTGTGTGAAGATGTAAAGGGAGCATGGAATAGCTTAGGACCAAGGGAAGCCTGGGTCCCCATAAACCAGTTGGTTCTGTCTTTAGCTAAAACTCTTATAAGTTTTACATAAATGTCCAAAGATACACCAAGAGGGACTTTAAAACTCAGCTATTCTTTCTACATAGCTAAGTCACTTCATATAAAAACTCTATCCTGTGGTTCTGTGGCTATATTTTAATGACCTTAGAAGTCTTGGAGGTATAGTTACTTGCTTGGGAAGAATTCTCGGAAGCACAAACCAAAGGGGAAACCTGAGGATCTAGCATGAGTGAATGAATTAAAGAGCATTGACATGGGGCAGACTCAAAAAAATTTTAAAAGCACAGAATTACCAAAAATGTTTGGAACTCATTTTTGTCAGCAAGTAGTAAAGGAAAAGTACCTTCCTAATCCTTGGCATTGAGTAACTTCTCAGCATAATATCTAAACCAGCTTGCAAGAAACTTATTTCTCAACATGACTGGCACAAGGAGGGGGCGAGGGAGGCGGACGGACAGCTGAGGCTTTGCTGACCTTGGGAGTATTTTATAGGTTGTACAGTAATGTTTCCCTCTGGTGTATTGTTCCTTTTGAGCAGCTTTAATCTATTAAACCAAAAAGAAAAAAATTGTCTTCAGCCCTGGGCATGTACCCTTTCCTTTTCTCTGACTTTTTGCTTCAGCAAACATTTATTCTGAGCATTTTGTGAACATTCCTTTCTACTGATTAATGATCATGATTAATGCCTCTTTAAACACTAAAAAGTGATTTTCGAACTCTTGAGTTGAGGCTTTAATTGTGTCTTTCTCACTTCTATTAATCTTCTCCAGGAAGAGTTGCTTAGAAGATTCTAGTCTTATATGGAATGTGCCTTAAGTGCAAATTTAGAAATAACCCAGGGAATTCTTTTTTTTATTAGAAGGAATAGGAAAAAAAATCACCTTACCCTTTAAGACTCCTGAGACTCTTAGAGCTGCATGTCCTCTTTTTGACGGATAATTTGACATTAGCATTCTATTCTAAATCTTCCAGTTTTTATTTTGTCATTCTTCCATTGACCATGTATTTTTTATGGTACCTACTATGTGCTGGCACTATTCTAGGCTTGGCCCATAAAACAAAATCCCTGCCCCAAGGAATGTATAATCTAATAGAGGAAGAGGGTCATAAACAACACAATGCACCATGTCTGGGTGGGATCTTCACGAACACTTAACAAACAGATACTGGGTTAGAGGTAAGCATTCCAATATGCAGTCAAACTGTAACCAATGTAAAAGCCGCATATACACCACATTTATATTGCAACCATGAAATGGTGCAAAAGGCATTCTCAAGTGCATGCTAATGGTTCATTTGTGGTGATTATGGAAGAGCAATATGAACGATGGTGGCCAGTCATCATTGTATCTGTACTCTAACCTTAGATTTTTGTGGCTGGTCAGGAGTCCAATAGGGATCATACTCCTTCAGATCTGAACATGAACGACCCCCATTCTGTTTGTTGTAAAATATTGCTGCATTGCTATAGTTTTGAACTTTCTGTGAAATCTTCAATTATTGAACAGATTGGAAAAGTGAAAATGAAATATAGTTTGAAACAAATGAAATAAAGCTTAAGTATAAAATGAAATTAACTCTCAGGAGATTACCAAAAAAATGATGGTATTTATATAGTACTTTGGGTGAATATGGAAAACTCATTATTTAGCTAATATTAAAAATACATATTTAGTGGGAATCTAAAAGGTGTTTAAAAAAAGTATTCCCTAAAAGTGAGTTCTAAAGCCCTTAGTCTCTGCCCCCTTGGAACACAGGAAACAAATTCTAATGAACCCTAAATCTGCAAGCTTGGCAAAGCCAATTCGTTCTTTGGACCTTTTCCCCCACCCCGATTTTATTTCTTTTGAAGGGAGCCATTAGCACCTTTCTTCCATGATGCTGGGTTTCTATTTTAAAACACACTTTAAAAAGGCTTCCCACAATGAGAAATGAAAACTGTGCCTGTATATGATCAATCCCACTGTCAAAGTCATAGTTAACACGGAAGTCACAGATTATGGGCCAGGCACTATCCTAAGTCAGACCCGCATCACAAATAAATTCTGTAATTTAAGTACCATCAAGTTTACTATTTTACAAATGAGGAGCTAAGTATTTTCTTCAAGGTCACTTAGGAGAGTCAAGATTAGAACAGTGCAGTCTAGCTCTACAATACCTTCTCTCTTCACCAAAAAGCCTTCTTGACATAGACAAATACTTCAGGTGTGCGGTATAGAGTCCCAGGTGCAGGAAAGCTGAACTTTATGGTCATACATCTGCCAGTGTGGCCGCATCCACCCTGACCTCCCCAAGTCAGCACCCTTA